TATACACTATTCAAAAGAGCTCTATCTTACTTAAATCACTAGTTTCCTCACATTCTAAATATATAACATTCAAGAAACAACTTAGACATCATAGCATTTTATATTTAGATCAACTTACCACATTTGATAACTCATATTTTCTAAACTGAAAACATATTTCTCTATGTATAAACAAAATTCCTAAAGGCAAACAACTACTTTGGTTTACTTATTTGGAGGACCAAGTCACAAGTTACTCTTATAATTGTATTTTTTATCAAAACTTATATTTATCTAACACAAATTATTATAGTTATACAATTGGACATTTTTCTTTATAAAAAAAACCATGGCTTATTACAGTTTTTGACAACTAAATTATTATTGGCAAAGCTAAAAGACAGTCTTCACTATCTGGAACTGTTCTTATAACTTATTGGCAATATTATATTGAATTACAATTTACTCATTTCTATCCTTTTTCACCTATTCAATCAAATGCATGTTCAGGCTATTATTTTAATTCTTATACAATAACTAACAAATGCATAATCATTATTTCCATTAATGTCCCAACTAAATTTTATAGTTGAATTAATACATACAACAAAACTCTTAACTTTAATGCTAACTATTTTGATCTTATATATTCTATTGGAATTAGATACTCTATTTAAACTCCAAATTCTTCTAACATTATTATTACAATACACTCAATTTCAAATATTTTCGAATACAGTTTACTCACAAACAATCTTTAGCAAATTGCTAATTATAACTCCAACTTATCAGAACTTCACTTTTATACAGATGGCTCAGTTATAAACTTAGACACCCCACAATGCTCAATAGATATTGAATAGGCTCAAGTTTCAAATGATTTCATATTTTATACCTTTTAGGCTCAAACTAAATATTGGTCTTGCTTATTCAAGTTAGAGCTTATTGTTATTTTATTAGCTCTCATTATTGCCCCTAGAAACTGTACTATAAACATATATACAGACTCACAATCTGTGATTTCTAAATGTAACTGTCTTTTAAACTCAATAACAACTATACTATATACTCACATATTATACTTCTTACTATGGAACACACTTATCAATTTTATCAAATCATACAATATTCATATTATCTTCTACAAAGTTACTACTTATTAAGATAACAAATATAACAACCTTGTTAACCAACTAGTATGTAACTATTACAACCTGCTATACCTTATTTTTATATCTTATAATATTTATAACTTAGCTTATACTTTAATCTTTGAAAATTTTTTCTTAAACTTATCTACTTATCATTGCATTTATACAATATATTATGCATATATATATGCACTCTGGATAACACAAAATCATTTTTAAAAATGGCACAAAATCTTTAACCAAGTTAATTGGCAAGCTATTTGGCTTTATATTAACAAGAATCAAAAAATCTCAAATTTTTCTCATAGCTTTCAGTTCTCTAGTCTTAAATCTTTTAAAATTAAAATCCTATCAAATGAATTTTCTATTCTACATATTCTACATAAATGTTATTTTTTATATTCACCTATTTATCATCAATGTTATCAAATTAGTTTACATCTTCACTAGACAACTTGTCTGTCTAACTAACTATTACTTAGTCTTATTAATATCTTACTACAACATATTCTTAACTCAAATATACTTAATACTATACCTAATACTATAACCAACTTATATTACTATATCAAACTACTTCTCAGCATGTCTATTTATAATAGATCTAATATACTATCAATTTTTTTAACTCTAATAGGCTTAATACCAAATAAACTTATTGACACTATTGCAAATTTGTATTCTAAAAAAATAACTATTACACTTTCTATAAAGTTTTTACTTCATCTTAATCAAACAAATCTATCACAAAATTTGGATTTTCTACTATATTTCAAGATCTACAGCTCAACTTCCTAACTATAATTCATTATTAAATCCTGTTTCTTCTATATCACACATTCTTCCTTCTAATTCAATTTGTTCTAAAATTAATTCCTAATATATTTAATAGATAAAATATCAAACCAATCTCCTATACATTATTACTAACACCCAAATTTAGATAAGTCTTGGTTATTCTGATTGGTTTAGATCACAGATAAATTAGTCTGAGCTTCTATGCTTTCTATAATATTTTAAAAATAGATTTGTACTTTATATAAAATTTCAATTGAATATTCAATAAAGATAGAGACATAGCCTTACCTTTAATATTAAAAAAAAAAAGATTTCTTATACATTAACAATTAAATTATCAAAATAGAACTAAATCATAGATTTTTAAGTATATAATTATTTTGGGTACTTATTTGTAATAATTTTCAAATATTAGGCCTCTATTTATAATTATTTTTATTCCAAGCTCTTATTTGTAATTATTTTTATTTTTTGGATCTTTATTTGTAAATTCTCCAAGATATAAACATTATTATATATACTAGTCTACTAAAATTACAAATTTATAGAATTGATAAAATAATTATTTTGTCAATTTTCAAATTTATAAGAATAGATGTAATGTATATAGTGTCCAAAACTTAGTGCCTGTAATATTCAACACTTAGTACCTATAATACTTGGCACTTAGTGCTTATAGTGTTTGGCACTTAGTATCTATAATGCTTAGAACTTAGTGCCTATAGTGTTTAGCATTTGTAGTACTCATAGTGCCTGGTATTTGTATTTATACCTATATTAGTATTTGGCACTTGGTGCCATGTCTATAATAGTGCCTAGCAATTTGTATATATGCCTATCATAGTGTTTAGTATTTATGCCTATACCTATAAAAGTACTTGACATTTTTATATCTATAGGCATAAGTATAGTATAAAGTATCTAGTATCTAGCATAGTGTCTATATGCCTAGTATAAACATTTTTAGAGTCTTATTTTTAACTATAATAATATATTTTTTTTTTTGATATTAAAATGACCTCTTTGGTCTTTTGACTTTTATTAATTACTTATTAGTATTGTGATTCAATAAACTACTACAGAAAAGCATACAATTAGCTATATATGTAACTTTTCTATATTACCTATTTAAGAAGTTCACCTGAAGATTTTCTACCAATTGTCATACCTAACACCTCTGCTTGGATGTTCTATTTTAAACCTTCTGAACCTGTAACTTGTGTTAACTCACTGGGTCATATTCAGATATCCAGATTATCATCTTAATTTTAGAACTAATTTATCCTCAAAATAAACCCTCTAAAGCTTTCTGTACCTATTTTTACAGCTGACTTAGATATCATTATGGCAAAATCAACACTTGTGGTCAGAACTGATCATTAAACCACTATGCTCTTGTAGAATTCACTTAAACTCTAGCATCTACTTCACAGCATAATCCTGATACTTTAGTATATTTCTGCCTTTTTTCCTACTTTTTTATTAAACTCTCAATTTAGATAGCTCATATAGAACTATGACCAGTCTATTAATATATTAGGTTAGACTGATATTCTTTTTCACTGGTTCATTCTAACAGCCTGGTTAGTAGTACTCCTGAGACTCCTAATCTGGAGGTTCTTGTCTGTTTAACTAATATGACCAGATACTAAATCTTGGTATTTGTTTTGTTAGGCTAACCTTTACAGTAGGATCATCGAAGATTCAACTATCTCTCTATTCAGGTCTTCTCAAATGGACTGCTTGTTACCCAATTTCAACAGATTTACATAGTTACGAGAATTTATCTAATGTTTGCACCACCCAATTTGTCAGTTTGTATTTCTCTGTATAACTCCAACATTGCACAGATGTTCTATAACTTGCCAGTCATACTGGTGTGATTACTATTACAAGTATCCTAACTCAATTGTTAGTAACAGTTATCATAATATGAATATTACAAAGGTGATTATCCAAATTTTCACTATCAATAGGATTTGAACACCCAACCTACTATTTGAAGGATTGACAACCTGACCACTTCATTAGATCACCACACCTCATTAACTAATAATCTTTATAATCTTTGATGTACTTTATTTATTAAACAAATTTCTATTAAGATTTCTATTCAATATTCTATTTATACTATCTGTTAAACTCATATCTAATATCTATTAGAAAACTACTTGATTTTATATTAATAATAATCAAAAAATTTTTATCTTTATTCACAACTTCTACTTCTTTATATTGAAAACTTTTTATATTAAAATCTTTCTGGATGAACTACCTGTGCATCATATTTTTTGCAAATGTAACCCTTTTTACTCTTCTTTTTGTCATCAATGTAATCAAACTAATTTCCCATTACACTAAGTTATTTGTTCCTCTACTTAACCAATTTATTACTTAATCTCTAATGTTCTTAATTGCATCTTAAATATAACTTTTCTTGATATATTTACTAATCTTTTCTTTGATTTGTATAAAATAATTCTTACACTTGTGTTAGAGTTTCAAAAAACGAGTTCGGTTTTGGGATTTTATATAATTTCGGGTTTCGGATCACAGCTTTAACCCAATTGGAATTAATGCTTAATTCCGGTCAGGTAGGTACCAGATGCAACGATTTCTTAAAGGTATTGCATTTTTGGTCTTTGAGAATTTGTTGGGTTGTATTGGTAATTTATCTACAGAGTAGAATTTAATTTATAGGCTCTGAGTAGCATTAAACAAAACTCAGATAATTCTACTTAATTTGCTAATTGTTAAATTAGACCTAACAAAGTGATAAAATTATATTTCACTGCACGTTTTGTTGGATTTAGTAAAATCCGATTTTTATTTCTATTGAAAGGTCATGTTTTGGTACAAATTTATGACTCTTATAATATTGATAAATTGGCTGATATATCTTTAGCAATCAATGCTTCTAAACTAATTATTTCCGATATTATTTATCAAACCAATTGTAAACATATTTAATGTAAAAATATTCTCTTTGAAAGTATATCACCAAAAAATCAAGTAAATTATTTTAAACTTTATCGAGCATATATAATAATTAAATGTGCATAAATATTATGGTTATTTTTGAATTTCTTCTTCATCCTCACCAGTAGAATCGGCCAATATAGGTTTTGGTTGTGTTTTTTTATAAGCTATAAATATGTAAATAACAGTTAATAAGAAGTTAGATGCGAAGACGGCATTAAAGCACTTACCATTTCCAATCCATTGCGGATCATCTGCAAATTTAATAATCAATTGTGCATATACGTTATACCGTGTTTGATAGCATCTTTTAATAATTGAAACATAAGTGACAATACTTACTTTGAGATACTTCTGCAAATTTCAATAAAGCCTCACGAGGATCTTCGTCTGTGGAAATTTAAGTTCATATAATTAGACTCAATGCAAAAATGACCAAACAAAAAAGTTAAATTACCTCTAGTCGTGTCCTTTATCAACTCTTTCATTATATGCTGTGTTAAGCTACTACCAATCTTACCGCCCTTACCAGGGCCACTAACAGGAAGGTCTTATAATTGAATAAAAATCGTTAGTAATTAAATGCTGTATCGTGTTTGTAATTTCAATATTTACCTGGTCTGTGTGATGCAACAGGATCTTTGCGCAATTTTTCTCTCTTTCGTTTGGTCGACTTTGGTCTATCATCTCGGAACATTGATAATGAATGCGGTGCAATAATGGGACGATTGATCTCATAGTCGTCAATAGCCCGCTTCTTAGGCTCTTTGACAACACACAATTTGGCGCCCCGAACGCTTATAATTGGATCGTAGAATACATGAACCAACCCATCTGCACTTCCGGTAATGATCTGCAAACCAAATAGATTAACAAATATTGCTCATCGAAATTAAATAACAAACGACAAGATAATTTGTTATATTATAGTCATTCATGCCTGATTGATTCGTGAATGCCATAAAACTCGAATAACACTAGATTGCGTAATACCTAATTGGGTATCACATTAATTATACGAATTAAAAATGTTAATAATTTATAATAAGGAAACCTACTCATTGTACGAACAATCTCTAATGAGTTACGGTCCATCATCACCAATTTTCCATAGCCTTCTCCTTTTTTAGTGGCAGTACCTACGACAAACCATAATAATATTATTATTAAATGAATTAAATTACCATTATAATAAATGCTACCAAACACTAAAAAAATATCATAAACATATTACTCATACCAGTAATAATCAATCGCTCATCAGGACTGAATATTACGTTAGTTTCAGCATTAAAAGTTGGTAATTCTTTGGCCTGGGCCACAGCACTTTTAAAATTACGCACATCCCAAACTATTAAATAAATAAGCATATTCGAAATTACAATTTTGGATCCCATTATTAAGCAGATGATATATTGACTACTAGCCTTTTACGCAATCATCACCACCTCTTGTTACTATTGACCAATTATTTCTAGAAAATACTATTGAAGAAGTTTCACTATGCGGTTGATGAGCTTTTTCAATAATCTTTAGTTTCAAGACGAAATAAGTATATTTGTGTACGACTCCAATTATGCAATAAAAAACAAAAAAAAACACTTACATGAGAAGGACGAATATAGGGACCGTTGCCACCCCATAAAAAGAGGCACCCGTCCTGAGAAGCTAGAATAACATACAAAGTTTAGCAAAACGATAAGTATTGAAATCATAATTATAACAGCATACCTCCAGCCAAAAATTTTGAATCTGGGCTATAGCATGCTGTAGTTATAGCACTTCTTCCTCCGCGTTCTTTAGACTTATGTACAAGTACATTTTTTTGCTTGCGTTTATTTTCTACATCCCATATTCTACATAATAGATAATGCGTTAGTAAGAATGCTTTTAAAGAAGTTGTGGTACAATACTGTCATAAATAATACAGTCAGACCTCTCTAAATACAAGTTGTATGAACCAAACTTTTAACTACGCACATCAGCACTTGGATGTTTTTAGGAAAATTGCACTTAAGGAGATCGGAATGTATTATAATATCTCAATACCTGATCGTACTGTCAGCAGATCCAGTAAAGAAAGTCTGTTTATCATTCGGATGCCAACCCCCACATGTCAAGGTAGCTATGTGGCCACTATAAGACGATAATATTAGCATTTTGGGATAAAAATGGAATAGAAATAGCTGTTTTGCAACATTAATTACCTGGTGTTCCGCATGTCTCTAATGTAGGGATCACCCTTAATATACTCTTCACTAAATTGAAATATTAAATATTTTAACAACAGAAGCTTATTCACGATGATAAAAATTTACATATTCCTACATTTCAAATCCATCACGATCATAAAGCTTTGCTTGTGCGGTACCAGATATGATTAAAAATTGATCACCACTCAAGCTGTATTCTAAATGATGAATCTATATTAACAAGTAAAATAATTCTCAATCAAATTAACATCAAGAATTAAAAATAATTGGGGTTTAAGACTAACTTGGTGATCTCCACATGGTTTAATAGTTCGAAACGGACGAAATGTAGAATCCATTCCTGCAAAATCCCAAAATTTTACATCATAATCATAACCTCCTGTAATAAGCCGTGCGCCAGCAGGATCAAGAGTTAATGCAGAAACACTCTATATAATTAAAAGGACGGCCAATTTTGAATCAAGTACACTAGTAAATAAATACATACATACAAATACAGCATATCCTACCTTATAATGATCATTTAACTTAATTTCGTGCGAAATAGGTAAAGCATCAGATTCGATGTCCTCTTCACCCTCATTATCATTATCATCATCATCATAATCTGTCTCTCCGCTTTGTTCATCATCTCGATCAACATGTGAAGTATCATCATCCTCATCGGTATGTCTTATACGTTTATTCTTTTGTGTTGTCTGATCTGACGCGCTCGGTTTGATCTCTTCCTGCTGTATATAGCGTAAAGAGAAACTAAAAGGTCAGGTACGATATATATAGAGATCAATATCAAACTATTCCACATTAATACGAGTTGTGACTAAATGCTATCTTAAATAAAATAACCTCATCTTTTCTTCTTGTTTTCGAGAAAACATCCGAAGAGTTGGTTTTCTTTCTTTGTGATCCAAATGACGTCGGTAACATTGACGTTAAGTCTTGAATTGAAAAAGATTCGTCGTGCTAAATAAAGTAAAAAACAAGGTCAATTCAGTGCATTTTATATAGCTTATTAATCATTAACGCCTTTTGAAAGTGGGGAATTAAGATACCATTGTAAGAAATGTGTCCAAATGAAGGTTATTCTCTTATTTTTGTCGTATAGAAGATTGAATTAATAAATTGGAAAACCCAGTTTCCGTAAATCCGGTCAAATTTGTCGATCACTTGTTAGGTTTAAGACTTAAAATCCGGCCAATGATCGGCAAATTCTTTAACGTCAAAATGACACGAATAGAAAATATGCTATTAGAAGATTCTTAATTTGTATCGTTTATTATTAGTTGTTTATTAGTAGTTTATAAATCAATTCTATTTGTAATTTAAATTTTTTTATATAACCATTTATAAAAAGTTTAAGTAAAAAAAAGAAATAAACAAAAACTCTTTTCCGTACACCACAAAATAATAACAAAAATAAAAATTAAATAAGATAGATCCAGATACCAATACTAAATAATTACAAATTTTGAATCAATGTGTACTTGTGTACAATAAAAAGACAACAAGAATAGTTCAAGTTAAATAATACAAAATAAAGCAGAAGAAAGCAGCAAAACAGAACAGCAGTGATAAGAAAAGTTTTTCAACTTACAAAGAAAAGTTTTCTTGCATAATTCTTTTAAAAAAGTTCTGACAAATACAATCATGCACAACATAACAGTAGTAAGTAAAATTACAACAAAGACATAAACAACTCAGCTTCCTATTAGCAACAATAAAAGAAAATGTACTGCTATCATCATCATTTTTGTTAACACAAAAAGTAAACAATCCAGCTTATTCTTGAAGAATTTCAAAATAACATTATTAGTTATATAAAAAGTTATAACAAATTCAGTTAATAAAAATAATGAAATACAGATCATTACAGATGATAGCAACACAACAAATACTATAGATAGCAGTGTACTAGTTAATAACAGCTTGGGTACTTAAGAGTTACAAAACCTCAGTTTAGATAAAATCAAAACTCAAAATATATAAATAAATGAAACTAATATAGTTAAAAAAGATATAGATATAGAAAAAATGCAATAGGACAATTAATTATATACAATCATTTCTAGTAATAATTTAAATAAACACAAATATAAATTTATGTATAGTTAGGTACTAGTAAAATTTTTTTTTTTTTTTTGAACTTTGGTGACAATGTCAGTTGGTTTATTAGCTTTTAATTTTGATATAGTACAAATTTATGGTTACATTTTTAGGATCAATTATTACTAGTACTATATACTATCTAATTTTACACTACTGACTTCACCCGGTTACCATATGGCATCTAAGTGCATGTCTGCCACATGCCTGCATGCAGTTATCTTAACAACTATTTGCAGACAGGGCATACTATTAAACTACTACACAGACAAGGATACCTACTGAACTTAATACAATATTCCAAATGCCAGAGGTATTGTCTTCTGTAAATCGTATCCATATGTTCCACTTATATGTTTTACCTGGTCTTGTTTCTTTTGCCTCTTAGTCTAACTATATCTAGTATTATCTTGTTTCTCATATTTCTCACCTTTTTGTCACTGTACCACTTCCAAATTGGTCTTACTCAGGTATGTTTGATCCTTATGATCTTTCCATCTTTGGTATGTCTGTTATTGATTTCTCTAAGATGTTCCAGATCTGCTACTACTATTGGTCTTTTTGATCAATCTGTATCTCAAGTTAGGTCTGCTGGCACCATTTCTGCAAATATCTCAGGTCTTTAATGTTATACATTAACTTGATGCTACATTTAATCTCCAACATGGTGCTTCTTGCTATGGTGAGAACTAAGACTTGTTGTGTTTACAAACAGAACAATTCTGGTTATATCTAGGGAATTCTTCTGACCTCAGTAATACTATACTATCATATATTGCAAGCTCTTAGCTTATTTGATAATATCTGCAGAACAATTCTAGTTATGTTCTAGGGAATTACACTAACCCCAGTAATGTCATACTACCTTGCAGATCTTATCTTACATTGGTTGGTTAATCCCAGTCTTGTTTGTTATAGACTTTTATATAAGTATGATCAAAAACCTGATTTGATACTTTTACATTATACAAGGAAGTTATATGCCAACTTCCAAGAGTTTTCCCTTCTATAATTAGATTATTTGGATGTGCCAGCGGTTTTCTAATTTTTGGTTAGACCAATTCTTTATCACAGTCCATCCTTGTGTTTACTGCTTTTCTCACCATTCCAGTTATGATTACTTTTAAGAATACTTTCCTAATCAAATCTTTACCTTGAATCTTATTAAGACTTATTTGTACAATCTGTTGATTATTCTTTCAAGCAAGTACCTCACAAGTTGGATGCAAGAACGTTGGTACTGCCTATATTAAGAGGTATAAGGATGTTGGTGCTGTTTTAGCCTAAAGGACTTACATATGCAATCTTTTCATAACTATAACCTTCTATAACAACTACTTGTTATGCATAATGCCTGCACTCTATGATTAGGTCTCCTTCTAGGAATTTCTATTTCCATTATTGTACTGCACTTGGACTTAACCACAGGGTTTCACATTCAATTACAGGCTTTTTATTAGGTTACAGAAACTAAAATCTTTCAATTTTGGCTCTAGCCAGACTTGAACTATTGACCTTAACTATGAAGGGTATAGAAGCTTAACTACTAAGCTATAGAACCCATATCCCAAAATATTATAAGATAAAATAATAATAAGAATATGAAGATATAATAGATTAATACAATACAAGACAAATTTGCAAGTAAAATTACTAAATCTTTTAATTTGAAAATTTGGAACTACAACAAAATATTTAAACTATTATAAATAAAAGAAAGAATAAAAAAATTTATTAAATACAAACTAATATACAAACTAACAAACCTCTATATACCTAATACAATTAATATAAAATTCAAATATCTAGATATAATATTTTTTATTACATTAACTAGAAACAAAACAACATGACAAATCTATCAAGAAGATTACTTAAATATATAATAGAAAAATACAAACTGATTAACAATATTATAATTACTAATGCACAAATATGCAAAATTATTAAAACCAAACTATAACAAAAGATTATTATTGACTATATCACAAATTGCAATTTCAATACAATATTAGATAACATGATTGCTAAAATAATTAAATACATTAAAGAATTTATGAAAAGTGAACCAGTATTTGATATAAAATTATAAAAAGAATCATATGAACAGTACTAAAAAACACTGAAATAGCATTACCAAATTATCTAGATGAAATATCAAAAGAAATATAACAACATCTTATTAGTCTCAAATCTTATATAAAAAGAAAAGATAAAAAGAGGTTTTCATATAAGAGGATTCTCCTATACAGATTACTAATTATATATAGATATAAGACCAAATCAATAATAATTACTCTATACAAGATATATAAATTTAATACTCTGCCAAAAGATTATTTTAAAATAAAGAAACCTCTTATAGCAGACTCTAAAAACCTTAATCCCATAATTAAAAACTTATTTCTAATTACAGACAAAAAGAAATTTCAAAATCTTGAAAAATATAAATAAAAGTTATTAGAATTCTATAACTTCAATAAAATTCCAAAGACATATTTTAAATTACTTAACCTAAAACCAAGCCTATCTACAACATATTATAAACTAAACAGAAAAACTAAACATTTCTTTCTATTTAATTCTCAAGATCTATCAACCATAATAGAAAAAATAGTTAAAATGCTTAGAGAATATTATACTTTTTTTTTTTTTTTATTCTTTGACAGCCTTGTCGGAACTTTAATACAAAATTTTATTAATTGAAACATTATCTATTTCTAGTAATTCACTTTTGCAATTGCAAGCTCAACATTATTCAAGTACAGAGACTGCACTTAAATGCAACTTGTTACATCAACCTATTCCTAAATTGGGAAACTTTGTCAGCTCTGTTAAGAACCGAACCAGAATGGACTATTTCTATTCTGTATTATTTCATTTATACTTTTCATAAACAACTGCTTCTGCTTCATCTCCCTTTCTTTGTATTTCTCCTCTCTAATCTTATTCACTGATGTTTCTTTACTTTTCACTTTCTTTATACTGCATTCACTATTTTCAACCATCTTGTCTCTTCTTTATTTTAATTTCATTGTTATTCTATTTTCTTCCTTCTACTCAACTACTGTTCTATATCTTCACCACCAAATTTTTTCTCTAAACATCTCTTTTATAATCTTAATATATAATCTGATACTTTGCTTCACAGCTTTATATGAAACCTGTTGAGCATACAACTCCTTAAACATACTCTTGACTGCTAACCTACATATGCATGCCTCTCTATATTTAATTCTATCTACTTCTGTTTTACTAACTAATATTCTTTCCAAGTCATGTCTTGTAAGTTTGCACTTGTTTAACTTGTTAAACTTTTTCCATACTAACCAACACGCTAACTCTTCAATATTATTCCAATAGCCCTCATATTCCTCGCAAATAAACAAATGTCTTGATGATTCTTTTTTTGTTTTACACTCTTTACATAAGTCTGAACTATAAAAGTTTGGTGCTCTCTTCTTTAACATCTTAAGTACTAGCAAACTATCAGTAATGTACTTAATTCTAAATGAGATTCTCTTGCTCTCCTCTAACGATTTCACTTATTTTCTGTTAAATTTCTATTTTCTTTCCACAACTGTCTCCAATCACATTGTGCTTCTGCATCTGGTTCTAGCTCTTTTATCATATTTGAGCAATGCCATTCAGCACCATTCATCATGTTCATTAATGTCTTGACAAATTTTCTTGTTGGTATCTCTACTACTATATCTTTCCAAAACAATGCATATAGAAATCTCAAGTTTTTCTCAAGCTTTAAATCTGTAATTTCAATCTGCCATGCAACTTCTTTCACAAGCTTATCGGCTCTTTTATTTTATAATATTTCACTATGTGCTTTGACTTTAACTAATGATAGCTTAATCTTCTTTGACTTGCACATGTCTTTAATCTTTGTAACTAATCTAAAGTTTTTACTTTTACTTCATATTCTAATATTATATAGTGG